CATCAAAATTTAGACTGAAGAGACATAAAAGGCTTATCTGAGAAAGTAGTATTTATGCTGAGACCTAGTGAATGAGTAGGAGTCGGTCACATAGAAGCGTGGAGGGAAAGGCATTTCAAAGAAATGCTTCAAGCAGGAAAAGCTTGCTGTACCTGAGAAATGGAATGTCTGCTAAAAGGTGGTAGGTAGAGAGACCGGATGATAGAGGGCTTTGTAGCCCATGGCAAGTAGGGGAGGATTCCAGCCCAGGAAGGAGGCTATGATGTGTGTCCAGGTTCTGGCTCTGCTAGGGTAGGGGTATGAGATTAATTAAATTACTTACCTCTTTGTTTCAGTTTTTTCATTAGTAAAAAAGTAATATTAATAGGACTCCCTTCCTAAGTTGTTGTGAGGTTTAGTGAGTTAAAATATGTAATTTGTTATCTTCAGAGATTTATTCTGAGTTTGATGAGGTGCTATTGCAGGATTTTGAGTGACGTTATCTAATTTATCTTTTTAAGAGATCACTCCAGCTACTGCTTCAGTTTGAGAAAGACTTGATGGGGATTTAAAGGTTTCCAAGGTATTTTGAATGAATAGTAGCTTTTTGAGCTTGAGAATAAAGGGTCCCAGTTACAGGTCCATCTGAGAGAAAAATTAAAGTCAGGTAGTATAAATTTGCCAAAAAAAGGAAAAGACTAAATTAAATGGTAGAAAACTAGTAAATGATGAATGATTAGGCGATTAAATGGGGATGATATTGATTTTAATAATGGTGTGATTTTAAAAATTGAGTCATTGATTCTTAATATTTAATTGGTTATAATATACTAGATAGTGTTTTAGGTATCACAAACAAATGCAGAATTCCCAAACTATGCTGATCTACTTCAAGTTTTAAATGAAGAGCATAGGACTTCCCTGGTGGCACAGTGGTTAAGATTCCGCCTGCCAATGCAGGGGACACAGGTTCAAGCCCTGGTCCAGAGATCCCACCTGCCACAGAGCAACTAAGCCCGTGCACCACAACCGCTGAGCCTGCGCTCTGGAGCCCACGAGCCACAACTACTGAGCCCACGTGCCACAACTACTGAAGCCCACACACTGCAATGAAGAGTAGCCCCTGCTCGCCGCAGCTAGAGAAAGCCCACGTGCAGCAACGAAGACCCAGTGCAGCCAAAAATAAATAAAAATCCCTTTTTAAATAAATAAATAATAAATGAGGAGCATATATTTAAGATTAAAAATATAAAGAATAGGGCAGGCTATGATTTTTTTAACTGGACACAAAAAAGCACTGCCATTAATGGAATAATAATAAATTAGATTTCATTAAAGTTAAGAACTTACATTCATCAAAAGACAACATTAAGAGAATGAAATGTCACTGCACCCTCATTAAAATGGCTGAAGTTAAGAGGACTCGCAATCCCACTCTACGGGTGCATATAGAGCAACTGGAACTCTTGCTGATGTGAGAATAAATTGAACATATATACACCCTATGGAGGAATTCTGCTCCAGAAATGAGTACTTATGTCAGTTATATCTCAATAAAGCTGGGGAAAAGAAACAAAAGCCAAAAAGCAATGGGTACTTAGGTCCATCAAAAGACACATACAGGAATTATTCATAGCAGCAACAGTGGAATGGTTAAATAAGTTGCTATGTATTTATGTAATGGAATACTTCATAGGATAAAATACAACAACAGGATGAATCTCAGAAACTTTATGTTAAGCAAAATATTAAGTCAGACAAAAAGTTCAAAAACAGGCAGTATTAATCTTGATAGAGGTTGGACTAGTGATTACCTTTGGAAAGGGGATCAACTGGGAGGACTGGAGTGTTCTGCATTTGTTCTGTATTTTATTCTTTACATTTTGTCAAGCTGAATACTTTGGATTTGTGCAAATTACGTAATTTAAAATGTAATTAGGTACTTCCCTGGTGGTCCAGTGGTTAAGACTCCGGCCTTCCAGTGCGGGGGGACGCAGGTTCAATCCCTGGTCGGGGAACTAAGTTCCCACATGCTGTGTGACACAGCCAAAAAATTAAAGAAAAAAAAATGAAATTGATATTTAAAGATAAAGAGCATAGACTTTTTAAAGGTTTTTTTGTTTTGTTTGTTTTTAGTTTCTTTCTTTCTTGGGTGTTTCAAGTAAACAAAGAGAGTAGATTGAAAGAAAATGGAAGTTGGAACAATGCAGAAAGTATGAGAGAACAGAGAAAGAATTAGGAAAATGAGCAGGAGACAGGAGTCTTTAAGCATATGGATTGGTAGAAAGAACCAAGAAGAATGAAATAAGGGTTAGATACATAACAAGATGAAAACCATGAAGGAAGATACTTTCTTTGCACTCTGCAAATCTGACAGTATACACCATTCTTATTTCATATATAGTAATCACTTGACCACAGTTTAGCAGCATCTCTCTTTTTAGGGACTAAACTGAATTCTGACATGATTTCTTTTGGTATGCTAACTATCCCTGTCTCAAGTCCATCTTATTTCTGTGTGACACCTTGTCCAAAGTGAGCACCCTGGAGAGGCTTATAGGCTATTTAAGCAAAAAGAAGAAATTTATAATTACTTTAGTTTGAAAAGTTTTAGATAAAGTACCAGACTAGATATTCAGCCAGAGTTAAAGTTCCCTGACCAGCTTTCTGCAGCTTTAAGAATTATATTACTTTCTTTCAACATTATCAATCTGTATTATATAGTTAAGGTGTTTTACTTCAAGTCTCCCATCGACATTTCTTTTGTATGCATATACTGAAATGATCTTATTTAATAAAAAAAGAACATCTCCTGTGTGGATTTTAAATTTCCCATTATTAAATATTTATATTTTCAAAATGTCTTTATTTAATTGAGTGAGGTGCTTGGTGCCATTTCAAAATAACCTCAGGTGGTAGGTGTAATGACATATCAAAGATCTGACCTTTAGCATTTTAAGATTCTATTTGTCTGCATTTTCTTCTGCATTAATTTAGTCTTAATTTATATGCTGTTTCTCTGTATGACTTAATGAGTGGATGTATTTGGCATAAGATTCATTAACAAAAAGAAAATATATCTGAATACATATTATTTCTGTGCAGGTTGACTTGTGATTTTAACTTCATTTATATCTCAATTGTGACAAGTAGAAAATGCTGTGTATAAGACTGATCAGTATTTGTACAAATCTCATTCATTCTCATTACGTGTTCAGCCAAATAGACCCTGGATCTCCTAAACTGATGCCCATTCTCTTACTTCTCACTTCTTTGCAGTCAGCTTATTATATTCTTTTATTTACCTAGAGATACTTTATTCTCCAGTTCTTTGCTATTCCTTTTAAAGAAAATTGAATGTAATATTTACACTGATACAATTAAATTAACATCCTGCAGCATCTTTTTGTATGCTTTGGTAGCAAAGATAATCATTTGTCTGGGTAGCTTTCAGCCTAGAAGCAGAGAAATGGATAATTATCAAGTATAATATTGTGATATAAAAATTATTTTTATTTACCCGTTTAAGTTATCTTTATTGATTTTTAGAAATGGGTATTTCTTTTTTTTTTTTTTTTTTTTTAAACATCTTTATTGGGGTATAATTGCTTTACAATTGTGTGTTAGTTTCTGCTTTATAACAAAGTGAATCAGTTATACATATACATATGTTCCCATATGTCTTCCCTCTTGCGTCTCCCTCCCTCCCACTCTCCCTATCCCACCCCTCCAGGCTTTCACAAAGCACCGAGCTAATATCCCTGTGCCTTGCGGCTGCTTCCCCCTAGCTATCTACCTTACTACGTTTGTTAGTGTGTATATGTCCATGACTCTCTCTCACCCTGTCAAAGCTCACCCTTCCCCCTCCCCATATCCTCAAGTCCGTTCTCCAGTAGGTCTGCGTCTTTATTCCTGTCTTACCCCTAGGTTCTTCATGACATTTTTTTTTCCCCTTAAATTCCATATATATGCGTTAGCATACGGTATTTGTCTTTTTCTTTCTGACTTACTTCACTCTGTATGACAGACTCTAGGTCTATCCACCTCATTACAAATAGCTCAATTTCGTTTCTTTTTATGGCTGAGTAATATTCCATTGTATATATGTGCCACATCTTCTTTATCCATTCATCCGATGATGGGCGCTTAGGTTGTTTCCATCTCCGGGCTATTGTAAATAGAGCTGCAATGAACATTTTGGTACATGACTCTTTTTGAATTTTGGTTTTCCCAGGGTATATGCCCAGTAGTGGGATTGCTGGGTCATATGGTAATTCTATTTGTAGTTTTTTAAGGAACCTCCATACTGTTCTCCATAGTGGCTGAACCAATTCACATTCCCACCAGCAGTGCAAGAGTGTTCCCTTTTCTCCACACCCTCTCCAGCATTTATTGTTTCTAGATTTTTTGATGATGGCCATTCTGACTGGTGTGAGATGATATCTCATTGTAGTTTTGATTTGCATTTCTCTAATGATTAATGATGTTGAGCATTCTTTCATGTGTTTGTTGGCATTCTGTATATCTTCTTTGGAGAAATGTCTATTTAGGTCTTCTGCCCATTTTTGGATTGGGTTGTTTGTTTTTTTGTTATTGAGCTGCATGAGCTGCTTGTAAATTTTGGAGATTAAACCTTTGTCAGTTGCTTCATTTGCAAATATTTTCTCCCATTCTGAGGGTTGTCTTTTGGTCTTGATTATGGTTTCCTTTGCTGTGCAAAAGCTTTGAAGTTTCATTAGGTCCCATTTGTTTATTTTTGTTTTTATTTCCATTACTCTAGGAGGTGGGTCAGAAAGGATCTTGCTGTGATTTATGTCATAGAGTGTTCTGCCTATGTTTTCCTCTAAGAGTTTGATAGTTTCTGGCCTTACATTTAGGTCTTTAATCCATTTTGAGCTTATTTTTGTGTATGGTGTTAGGGTAGAAATGGGTATTTCTAACTGGAGATTTTTGTTAAATAGATTATTGGTCAGTCAACCTACATATTTATGTTTAAATTATTTATTTTTATATTTTCTCAGTTTACACAAATCTTTATCCCAAGAAGAAAACCTGAAGGATCAGTTTAACCATACCCTTAATACCTATGAAGAAGCTTTAAAAAGTAGAGAGAACATTGTTTCCATCACTCAACAACAAAATGATGAATTAGCTACCCAACTGCAGCAAGCTCTGACAGATCGAGCAAACATGGAATTAGAGCTTCAGCACACCATAGAGGCCTCCCGAGCAGCCAATGACAAAGTTCAGAAGTAAGTAAAATGACCTTGCATTATTTCAAAAGCATGAAACAAAACAAAACAAAAGCACATTCTTTTGGCAACTAAATAATATATTATTTATGCTCTTAATAGTTTAAGACAAAAGTGGATTCAGCCAAATGAACTTTTTTAGATGGCCTGTCATATCTATATTTGGGGTCAAAAAGTCATTTACTTGCGAATCATGGTTACTATTTACGGCAAACCACTTTTATTGAATAATTGATCTTCAGGAGTTCATGGAGGCCATACGATTAAAATCAGTTCATAGGTAATAGGTAATTAGCAAGGGGAAGAGACAGTGAAGTTACCAACTCTACTCATTTAGCTTCACAATAATCTTACTTGAGCTGAAATCATCTATGACCTTGCAATCTGAGACCTCTAGGCACATAGAATCCAGTACAGTGAAATTAATTTTCTTGTGTTGTTCTTCTGAAGTATTCAATCCAGCTTTTCACAGTACGTGATCACATTTATTTTCAATAATCTTTGCATTTTTATTAAAATTTAAATAAAGCTGCATAATCAGTCAGTCCTTAATGATAGATAGCAAAATATTAACAAATAACTTATCAGACAAGGAAGTCACTTGTTAATTTATGGGACTTGAACACTGTAGCAGAATTTTCTAAAGCAGCTTTAATGTAATAAAACTTGTCATTTTAACTGAGCCCTTTTTTATGTATTGTTAACAGCATTACATCATTCACACACCTAATTGAATTCAATTTCTAAGACACACCTTCTTCCTTAACAATTTTTTTTTTCAGTTTTACAGTATGGAAAAGTAGAGCTAACTTCAAGGTTTCTTACTTCTCAATACTTTTTGTTTGAAAATAAGTCATGTGAAACATTTCCTCAACATCCCTGAAATTATATCTTGATTACTAGCCCAAGATCAGGTAAATACGTAGTCAAGACTGTTTTAAAACAGATTAGGAATTAATCTTTAAGGTATATGTACCTTGAAACTTATGATTTATGGTGTTATATTTTATAGGTTTAAAGATTAAGTTTATATTCAGTCAGAAACTGTATCCGATTATTCACAAAGTATATTAACATTCTAAGAACCCCAGGATAGATATTTAGGTAGATCTCATTTCATTGTAAATTACAATCAGTAACTTTTGACAGTCAAGATCGGATTTAGCTCTGTTTGCTTAAAGGATACAAATACTTAAAAATTTCAAAGTTTTCTTTACCTGTAATCCTTTAATTTCTATACATAACTAAAATTCCCTAAAACAGTGTTTCCCAGAGAGCAATTAGATTTCTAAAAAAATTTGGAAATGTTGTCAACTTTTATTTTTTAGATCTCATCAGCTATTGTTATTATTTTTAAAAGAAATAACTTTGTACCCCAAGAAGTAGAAATAACATTTCTCAGATAACGCTTTAAATTAAATAAGTTTAACCTTTTGAAAAACTAACTATATTATCCTTATTCGTCACGTTTAACAACAGACAAATCAAGACTTTTTAATGGAAATGGCACCAATCCATAGACAGAGTTTAAGTGCAACAATTATGTCATTTACAAGAGTTAAATGTTAAATTTTAATTTAAATGTTAAATCTTTTATTCTGATTTCTAGCAATCAGACCTAGATGAAATATTATCAGGCTTTCTGTTTCATATTTAATCCACTATATTTCATCTTTAATTGCCCTCAAGTGTGCAGTGTATCTTCATTACAGTTAATGTGGGCATCAGCCTATTTTGTTGGATATAAGATGATAACCTTCCAGGAAGCCAACTGATAAGACTTTGTTAGATATTAACAGGTATTTGTATTCTGTTAGGTATTAGTATTCTCCATATAATCTGAAATCACTATTACTAGCAATTATTTTTGAAGGTACTTTGAAAATATGTCAGTATTCCAGGCAATAATTAAAATTTAAATTAAAAAGGTCCACATTTCCCCTTTCCCTTTCACAACCAAATTCCTTAAATAACTGATCTGTATTCACTACCTCTAGTTTTTCAATTCCCATTTGCTCTTCTACTACTCAATACACTATGGCTAGCTCTTATACTAAATTATTGTTCTTAAGATTACCAGTAATTTCCTAATTATTGAATTCAATGGCCCATTCCTAATTATACTTTATCATAAAATTTATATATGAGCATGGTAAAATAAGTAAAGATGCTCATATATCTTCAACATGGTAATTTAAAAGCTCAGGCTCTGGATTCAGAACGCATAGGTATGTGAACTAGGACATTTTCAAACACTGCCTTGATGTGGGCAATAGTATGTGGACAGTAATACACCTACTTCATAATGTTGTAAGAATTGGATGAGATAATACGTGTGATGCTTTTAGAACAATGCATGTTGCATAGTCCCTCCTTCTCTTGTCATTTCACTCATACTGCACTATCTCATTCTTCAGAAGGGCACTACCTTTTCAGGACTAATGCATTTATATACGTTGGCCTCTCTCCTTGGAGCCTTTTGCCCTTTTCCCTCATGAGAAACATATTCATCCTATGAGATTCAGTGCAGCATAAAAGATAGAGACAAGCTTTGTGGTCAAGTCAGACAGACCTGTGTTTGAGTCCTTGCTTTCCTACCTATTACCTGTGAGATTTAGGGCAAATTGCTTAACTCCTGGAAGCAAAAGTTTTTCAGTTAAAGAATTTGGACAGGGCTCCCCTGGTGGCGCAGTGGTTGAGAGTCCGCCTGCCGATGCAGGGGACAGGGGTTTGTGCCCCTCTCCGGGAAGATCCCACGTGCCGCGGAGCGGCTGGGCCTGTGAGCCATGGCCGCTGAGCCTGCGCGTCCAGAGCCTGTGCTCCGCAACGGGAGAGGCCACAGCAGTGAGAGGCCCGCATACCACAAAAAAAAAAAAAAAATTTTGGACAGTTATACTGGCTTCACAGGGAGAGTTTATGTGACTTTCCTAGTCCTCAGCAGTTTCAGAACTGTCCTTGTTCCCTCACTGTTTCTTATCATTCACGTTCACTTTGCCATCAGTCCCCATTGTTTGCTACCTAAGTATCTCCTGATTCCCTCCACCTCTTCCCTTGTTAATTGCATTAATTCAGGCCTTAATCATTCTTCATGACTACTGAAATAATCATTCCTCTAGACTATTGAAATAATCATAAAATTAGTTTACCTGCCTCTAGCTCTCTCAAGTTTATCTTCCTCACCACCACCAGAGTTAATTTTTCTAAAACAGAAATCAGGTTATATTATTTCCCCATTTGAAATCTTTCAGGAGCCCTTCAACCCCTACAAGTTAAAGTTTAAACAACTTATCCTGATATAGGAGGCCTATCACTGGCCTTCTGCCATTGTTCTAGTGGCATCTCCTCACATGCCCCCTACCACAATATCTCTGCACATGCTATTTCTTCTTCTTAGAACATATTCCTCCCTTTTAGTACCTGGCCAGATTTTTGTTATTCCTTAAATTCCAGTCTAAATGTTACCCCTGTGATGCTTCTTTATTTTTTCATTCTTTAATTCTTTCGTAATACTTAGTCCATACCTTTATTAGAGGTCTCAATCATCTAGATGTTATAATTGCTTTGTATATCTACTCTAATCCCTGTAAAATTATTCATCGAACTTTTCCAAGCCATAGACAGTGTTCTACTCCTCTTTGTATCCCCATTGCCTCCAAATACTTGCACAGATGCCTGCTGTAAAGTGGGTGCTCCATAAATGCTTATGAACATATGAACTAGAACAATTTAATAGTTTAATAGAATGACAGAATAAAATAAAAGCAGATCAGGTCAGGAATGCACAGTAAAACTTCAGGTGTGCTCTGATGTGCTTTAAGCCCTAGAAAAAGTTTTTTATCCCAGCCAAGTACCTAGAGCTCACAAGTTTCATAGAAGAGTATGGCACTGGCATCACCACTCCTTCCACTCTCCTCAGAGTTGGGATCTCTTACTTGTTAATGATCAGCTTTTAACCCTTGTTCTAACCACCAACTTCCATCAAGTTTAATTACATTTAAAAGACCTGAAATCTTCAGCAATAGGACAGAGAGATCATATACTATTTCTAATAATTGTAGAATTTTAAATTTATATTTTATTTCTTTGAGAGTCTAACATTTTTCTTGAATTTTTTAACCTATAGGAGTATACTGGGAAAGTTGTACAGAATTACCATCCATAAACAAGCCAATGTTTATAGCAGATAGTCACTTATAAAGTAAAATGTGGTAAATGCCAGACCTCACTGCCCCAAAATAGCTTCTTGGCCCAGGTATCATAAAGCCTAAAATTTCACCAATGGAAATCCATTCCTTCACGTTAAGCATTACTCTCCTTAGGTACATCTCTTTTAAAAATGTGTATGTTTGTGGAGGAAGAGCACATAGTGATTTAGCTTTTCAGATTACTCTTTTGCCGATCCTGGATGCACTTGGCTTCAGAGAGTTATGTGGAGGCTAAAGAGCAGGTTAAGAGCACGAGAACTTTGTGAGAAAAACTTCTTTTAATAGTTTTGTCCAGACCATCCATAATCCTCATTTATTAAAGAGAAAACTGACACACCAATCCACTAAATGATGCTTTTTATCATAAGAGGTTATGAAATCTGATTCTTTGTGCTATACTTTTCCATGTGTCTTTCCATCTACAGACATGCTTCTGGCCTACAGCAAGTTTCCCAAAGGAATTTTTTAATGTATTTTACTAAATTTAACATGGTTAAGCTACACATAGTTACTTAAAATAAAAGTATTTACAACCAGACGTACGTGGTTAGAAGACCTCTCAAAGATCTAGGTTTTACAATGAAATAACTTTTATCACATATCATCTTAACCGTGGGCCAGATTTACACTGATACTGTTCAAGTTTCGTCATAAAATGTAACTATATAATAAATAGATTGGACTAAAAGATGTAAGAAAAAATTGTAAACTTTTAACAAATTTTCAAGAAAAAAAATTCATCAACTATTTAGAATTTTCTTTCTATGCTTTAAAAAAAATCAGTTACTTAACATT